AAAATTGTTATTCTTAAATTTTTATCAGATAGAAATATGGTACTGCTACAAGTTTCAAATGTATTTTGCACTTAAAATGTTAATATTTTAGAAGATATGCATTTTCCTGTGCGCATGTTTTCTTTTTTCCGCCATTTTGACAAGTCCTGCAAATCGGGCACTATAACATTTTTCTAAATTAATTTTTTTCACAAAACACACACAAATTCAATAGTCCAGCCATTTTCAAATACAATGAAACATAATTTGTGTTTTAACTAGTTTTCAATAAATTTTAGCAATTTTTTTTACAAGCGTCCCATAAGTGGGACGCTAGCAGAATATGGGTTAAGCTATATGCCTACAAAACCTTGATATAAAGTTCAAATATTTAACCAGATTCATTAGACAACCTTCAAATATTAAACAAAAACATCATACAAACATGAACTGTGATTCCCAGCTTACAGAATACCGACAAAGACAAGAGTTATGAACAACTAACATCACAGAATCATCACATTGCACAAAAATCACGCAGTTGCAACATATCGGCATCATACAAACACCACCCCTACATCGATTGAACATCACACCAACATCACAGTAACAAAACATCGGCATCGTACAAAAAACATCCATACATCGACTGATCACTACAGAAACATCTCACCTATATCACACCAACACTACACAAACATAACATAAACACCCGCGAACATCAGACTAACATAACATAAACACACGCTAACATCAGACTAACATAACATAAACACACGCTAACATCAGACTAACATAACATAAACACCCGCTAACATCAGACTAACATAACATAAACACCCGCTAACATCAGACTAACATAACATAAACACCCGCTAACATCAGACTAACATAACATAAACACACGCTAACATCACACTAACATAACATAAACACCCGCTAACATCAGACTAACATAACATAAACACCCGCTAACATCAGACTAACATAACATAAACACCCGCTAACATCAGACTAACATAACATAAACACCACACTGTTGCCGACCGGACTACTATGTTGCCGTCCGGTTGCTTAGTCGCCGGCCGAATACGTTGCTGACACTGGCTCGGGCACTAGCCAATAAGGCCGTCGTTGTCTAGGGGTATTTAATTAATCTACCCGAGTCAGCTACAGTAAGATAATCAACGGGACAGGAGACCTTCTTAGTTTATGCTGTTTATTAATTCGCTGAACGCTTGTTCTGCACATTATACCCCTGTTCTAACCCCCTAGCTATTCCCACGGGACAATGGGCTCAAAACGTGTGACCTAACAAATTATCCCCCCTGGCGCTAACAACCCTGGCTACTGGTCAGTATAAAGACTACTATTGTCCTGTCAGAGCGGCCAGTCTCTTTGAGCGTGTCACCTACTGTCCATCCCTAATGTGTACCCTGTAATTATTTAGTGAATGGATGTTTGTGGAATTCTGACCCTACATACACCAACACCACACTAACAAAACATGCACAACACTATAACAACACGCTAAAATCAGACTAACATAACATAAACACCCGCTAATATCAGACTAACATACCATAAACACCGCAGAAACACTACACTAACTTAATTTAAACACCGCACAAACTTTACACTAACATAACACCGCCACCACACCAGTATCATAGTAACATAACATACACGCAAATACCATATTAACACTACACCAACATCATAGTAACAACATACACACTCTACTAACACCACACTTACATAACATACACACCAACACCAACACCACACTAAGAAAAGATAAACACCACACCAACACCACACTAACATAACATAAACACCACGACAATACCACACTAACACAACATAAACACCACACTAGCATAACATAAACACCACACAAACATCACATTCCTTAGCTAAAAATAAATATAAAAAACTAATCAAAAAGTGTAGGCTACACTAGCGTAGACATAGAATTAGGTTAATTAATCTTTGAACCAAAAGTTTAATTAATTAACAGATACGCACTCTTATAAGGAGGTTGTTTACCATATTGATTGACCTAAATTGCTTGCAAACTTTAAACTATTTGCTAACAGATGGCCGTGCTGATAAAGCTCATAGTTGACAAATCAGAAAGTCCAGAGTTCGAACCCTGGGCCAATGAGACTAATAGCAGGGAAAAGTAACCCACTTGGCAAAGAAAACTACAACATCATATCTACTGCCTTGCAGTTTGTTCTAGGATGGACAACGGCTATGGAAGCAAATCCTGAAAGAAAAGCAGGCTGGTTGACACGTAAGACTTAATTGTGTTGTTGGAAAATACGTCCAGCAATACAATCAAGACGGTGCGCGGACCTTTGACCACAGGTGCTTTGACCATAGGGGGTTTGACCATAGCGGGTTTGACCACAGCGGGGCTTTGACCATAACGGAGCGTTGACCATAGGGGGTTTGACCATAGGGGGTTTGACCACAGGTGTTTTCGCAGCAGAGTGTCTTTGATCACAAGCGCTTTAAACACGGGTGTTTTTTTTCCATATAGGGTCTTTGATCACAGGTGGTTTGTCCAATGCTGGCGTTTGATAATGAGCGCTTTGTCCATTTATTGTAATGATTTATTTTAAATGTTGTGTAATTATATTTTAAATTGCGTCAGGATATAATAATATGTTAATTCATCATATATAAATACAAGACATCTAAACCATACAATTATTACTTCTTTGACTACAGTGTTGGTATGTTTTTTTATCCTATGTCATCCTTTCTATTTATGTATTTTCGAGTACATCTACGTTATTTATTTGTGAAACTTGTTATATGTCGCATTATTTGTGTTCCATTTATATTTAAAATAAATTCTATTAGGCGTAGCACCAGCCATTATGTGGAGACTAAAATATCGTTCTTAACGGTTTTTTTAGTACGTTAATTTCTATTAATGGACACCCAGGAAACTTGTATAAAATCGTATTGATTGTATCACAAATTTAAATCAAATAACAATTTATAATATCTATTTTAAAATCTATATATTATGGTTAACCCCACTCTGTGGTCAAAACCCCGCTGTGGTCAAATCCTCTATGGTCAAAGCGCCGCTGAGGTCAAAACCCTATGGTCAAACCCCCTATGGTCAAAGCACCTGTGGTCAAAGCACTTAGGACCATCAAGAGCGCAGAGAAAGAAGAAATTGCTGAAAATGAGTCGAAAGTGTTATTTGCTTTATATCGTAGATTTAACTACTAATAATTAGTAAAATTTCAATTAAAGCATTGTGAAAATAGACTACTTGAATTTATTTTTGCTTTCAATATCACTATACAAACCCTTATTTTAGTGTTAAGTATTAATCCGATTATTATTATTATTATTATTATTATTATTATTATTATTATTATTATTATTATTATTTTGCATTATTTAAATCAATACTTGAGCAGTGCCCATTTGGATATATCTTATTTATTGTTGTTTAACGTTAGCGCATGGTAAAAGAGATTCATTTCGAGCTGTTTTCTATTTATTCAATTTTTTGTTTGATGTTTTAGGTCTTTAAAAAAAATATTCTTTTTAAATAAATCATGTTCCTTGAAACTATAATTGATTAATACTAATATTAGTGATATAGTTGAAACAGTGTGTGTATTAGTACAATAATTACAAATTCTGTATCTGCTACACAAGTACACTTTGCAATAAGTAGGAAAATTCTATGCAATCATACTAAATTTTTGAAAAAAATCTATTTAAAAATTTGGCAAGCGATAAAATTATAGTTATATTTGTAAAAACTAAAGCCCATTGTGAACCATCGATTACACTCCTTTTTATATTTTTGTATCGAATATACATATACGTTAAAAAGCCATTAATTCATATATTTTCAAAAACTGCCCTCAACATCTCCTTGAAGTCTAATAAACGTCAGAACAATTGTTCTCGATGATAAAAAACACACAATAGTGACCTTCGTGTATAGCGTAGTATTGTATTTAAATTAAACGAGCCGACCCGCGGCGTATCATACGCCGCTATTTAGTTGTTTTTTTTCTACTTTTCAGTAATTCATAATTTGTGAATTCGACAGTACCAACGCTGCCACTGAAAATATTTGCTTTAAAACACTATCAGTAGGTCATTAAGAACGATACTACCCCCACCCTCCTTTCCTCCAACCCCTACTTTACAACCCCTCCCCCCCCCCTTCGTTTCCCCTGAGAGATCCCTAATTACAAATAATCGACTTATATTCTGTATTTAAAATTTTGGACGTGTAAGTATCTTGTGAGTTAGTTAACCTTGTATGTTTCCTTTTTTTCTTTACGCTACTGGCAAGGTTATTTAATTAAGCAAATTATTTTTTGCTTTTGTGAGTTGAGATGTATGAGTGGGCTAGACAATATTGTAAATGAAAATGCATACATTTGATTTACGTGAATGATGTGACCGTTAGTGGATATGTTGGATGCAGTTGTGAGGAAGAGTTAGTGATGGTACATTTTACCTATTACAGATGGGCGGATTAGATTCAGGTACACATCAGACCTGGGTGGACTAGAGTCAGGTACCCATCAGAGCTGGGTTGATTATAGTCAGGTACCCATCAGAGCTAGGTGGACTAGAGTCAGGTACCCATCAGAACTAGGTGGACTAGAGTCAGGTACCCATCAGAACTAGGTAGAGTAGTCAGTTACCTATCAGCGCTGAGGTACTTCTCACCTGTGTATGAGTTCTGAAATTTATTTAGACCTAATACTCTAAATGCTGATAATAAAACTGACTTAAAAGCGTCTAATTCTGTAAGCTCAGCGCAAACGTCTTAAGTTTGCATCATGAAGTCTGGTGTCATACTCCAGTGGCGTAGGGTAAACCATTGGCTCTTTAGCACATAGTCTGATAGTTCTGGTAAGTGCATTATTTACAATAAACTGACAATACAACTATACAAACTCGGCCGCTCAGTGTTGAAACAAATAAATGCATTACACTAAAAAAGCAACAAAAAATACGGACAATATTTCTTTACTTTATTCAGCGACAATACATGCCATCACTATTTTAAAAACATTTTCAAACATTTGACGAGCTGTTAGTATCATCGATTCGACGGTTGGTAGTTTTGATGTCGTATTCTGGTGGAGCAGGGTTAGCCTGAGGGTCATCCGACCCGGACTTGGCCACAGCTTTCCCACTGCTGCTTCCTACCTGTTCTGTGGAGCCTCCGACTTTAATACCTGTGACTGACGTGCCTAGGTTGGAGATTAGGCTGGCACCTTTCGAGGCTGTGTTCTTGATGAATCCGCTTGGAACCGTGTCCCATCTGACCTCAACGTGTTTACCTACAACGTCTTCAAATTTGCCAGTCAGCGTGAACACGTAGTTGTCTTCGTTGCATAAACTCTCGATCACGTCATCGGAATCGGGGTAAACTGACTTGATGTCGTTCCATAACCACGGGTAGGCGTTGGATGTGCTTTGACGTTTTAGCGCTTCGTAAAATGGTGTTGAGGCGTCTCCAAATTTGTAGTTGACCGTTGGTCGGTCGCTGCTGCCGCGGTACTGCTGGTGATAGTTTGTGAACTTTCCGCTTGGTCCTTGACCCCATCTGAGGAAACCTTGTAACTCGCAGCTGAATCTGGCGATGACCACTGCGGTGTAAGGGACAGTTGTTCGCGTCTTGGAGAGTATCAGATTCCACTTGACGGCGCTGAAGGGTGCCATTTCCTTAGAAGTGCTGACAGAGAAACTTTGGAACTGCTCGTTCTTGTTTTCGTCGGTAGTCGAAGTCGTTTTTTCATAACCGAACTTGAAAGAAGCGGAAGCTCCAACTCCTCCGATGGGTGGGGGCGTGTAGCTAATCTCAAGTTCCAGCTCTTTGGAGTTTTTAAACTCAGTTGTCGTTGTATGCGTTACACTTCGGACAATTGTCTCCGTTCGAGTGATAGTCTTTGTAGCTTTTGTCGCATCGTTGTTGTAGATGGTTCCACTGTCGAGACTCTCTGGCTTGAGTTCTTCAATGACAGGCTCACCGTATTTAATATCTTTGATGCCGAAGCTCCAGTCCCCGTAGACCATGCTGAGACGCTGGTCACTCTTAAAACCCTCGCATTCACCAGTTTTGTCCGCGACCCAGGTGTACCCGTTACGTCTGAAATCTTCCCCGTCAAACGGTGCAATACAGCTCTGACACCATCCATAGCCCAAATACGACGCCAGCTGTCCCGTGTATTTCATCGTCTTGTCCATGACCAACTCTTTGATTTTGTAGGTTTCGTCAATTTTCGCGGGTTTATCCGCCATCTTGCAGCACTTCATCTTGTTAATACAGTACAGCTGGTTGCAGTCCGATTTGTACAGCCCAGTGATGAAGTACCCGTCCTTGCAAGAACACAACCCTTCTTCGTCAAAACAGTTCTGGATGTTTGTGTCTTCGTAACATTGACCGTAATAGGTAGGATGGTCCGCGGGTTTGTAGCATCTGCCGAACTCAATGTTACTCAAACCTTGACCGTCGGTTCTGTAGAACCCTTGCAGGAAATAGCCAGCGGGACAGTTGGCCCAAATGTTGTTGTTGTTCAGTATCACTTCCCAGTTGGCGTAGGAAACCTGAACAGGGGAATCGACCCAGGGGTTGGGTGGGTAGCAACACATGGCCTTCTCGAGGTTGGAGATGGGGTCGTTGCCCCACCCTTGTCTTGCGCTGCGGTAGAATCCGGAGATGACGCCCATGGTCATCGTGCACTGGACGTAGCCTCGTTTGTCAAATCCACTGGTCCAGTCTGAGTACTGGCAGAGGCCCCAGGCACCCGATATCAGCGCCGTGAGCAGCAGAATGAAATGGTTTATTTCATTCATTCTTTACAGTTTTCTGTAACAGATTTTAAAAACAACATCAGAGGTTTGGATTTCATTTATTTTTCAACCTAATATGGCAATAGATTTCAGACACAGTATTAGCAGTGGTTCATGCGTGTTATCCGAAATACGTAAAATACACGTTGACATGTTTACTTTGAATTTTTTTTTTGTAACGAAAGGAAGTAATTAGTTTAAGAAGGTACTTTTTCAGCAATGACAGGCATCTATTCGGGGGGGGGGGGGGGGACCACGAAGAAAGTCTACCGCCTCCCCCCCCCCCCCCGAACAAGATGGATTTTATATAGTAAAGATACACTTTTACTAGTGTCCGCCCCCCCCCCCAATGTTGACTGCCACCCCCCCCCCTCCGAAAATTTCAAGTGCCACCCCCCCCCCACCCGGAGAAAAAAGTCTGGAAGAAACACTGCTGACACCATTATGTTATTATTACTTTTTTGTAGTGAAGATACAATAATGCACACTTTGTGAAACAGTGTATCTACACTGGGTTCCCCCGAAGTCAAATGTTAGTACATTCGACCAGACCAGCTACCCGAAAGACACAAGTTCGGATCCCGCCCTCCACTCTACCCATATCTGATGGGTATTTCTCATATTTCGGAAACGTGCTGACCATTATTCATATGCCCATGTCGCTGAAACAGGTAAACTCTACTTCACCTGCACTCTGAGACCGTAAAGTTTCAAAATGGTACTCTTACACAGAAACGTGATAAACCGGCCAAATTATCACGCGCTGTGCGTTGTGCGATTTATTTTTATTACAATGGCAACGTAATAGAAGAGTTTTGTGTCCTGACTAAATAACGTAATAGTAGAGTATTGTGTACTGAGTAAATAAAATAACAGTAGAGTATTGTATACTTACTAAATCACGTAACAGTAGAGTATTGTATACTGACTAAATAACGTAACAGTAGAGTATTGTATACTGACTAAATAACATAACAGTAGAGTATTGTGTACTGACTAAATAAAATAACAGTAGAGTATTGTATACTGACTAAATAACATAACAGTAGAGTATTGTGTACTGACTAAATAAAATAACAGTAGAGTATTGTATACTGACTAAATAACGTAACAGTAGAGTATTGTGTACAGGCCACATAACGTAATAGGGCGAGCTCAGTAGTCCATAATACATTCATCAGTGCCAACTCTTTTACGTAGGAGGGGAGAGCATTGAAAGGTTTAAAACAACCGAATGGATATTCTTTGAATTATTTACCCTATCTGTATTAGTTTACGATAGATAAAGAGTTTATTCAAGGCATCTTTTCGGGGCGAGGGGGGGGGGGGACGATCAAAATGGAATTTATATAGAAAATATAGAATTTAAACAGTGACAGACCCCCCCCCCCCCCGGAGAAAAAAGTCTGGAAGAAACACTGGATAGATCTAGTAAGAATATGGTTATATTTAATTTTGATAATACATTAATTGTTTAATAAGAAAACTTATACATAAATTGATAAACAAAATAACCATTAAAATTGTTTGATTATAATCATCTTGTAAATTTTTGTTTTCTAATGATTGATAATACTATTATTATAAAAAAAAATTATCCTCACTAGGTGTCTTGGTAAGCCGAGCTGTGTTTCTCATAAGCTAAAGGTTTATAAAGAAAATTCACTGGAGTTTTAATCTATACTATTTCTTTAATCGGACAGATTAAGTTCAGAAGTAGATAGCAAACCACGGAGATGAGGATACTTGATTCGATTCGATGACTCTTCTCAAGAAAAAATATGACCAGCAAAAATAATATATACTTCTAGCTTTTTAATATTAAGTTTAAATTGAATTATATTTAGTTAAGCTCCTCCCATTTAACGTACAAATGATATTTTTACTATAATTTATTTTCAAAATCAAAGCAATTGCCTACCTATGTGCAACGAGTAGTTGTTCAAATAATGACTTACCTAATGTCAAAAGAAATTTGCCTAATTAGCTGGTAAGGTAGAGTCTAACTGGGTTTTGGTCTGCTTATGAACATTTTATAACGAAAATGTGATTTTAAAAAAAAGTAAAAGTAATCCACATAGGAGTGTCCTCTTTAGTTATCGTAGTATTAGAATGAAAAAGGGGATCGGCGTGGTAAAGATCATTGTTGCTAAACCGAAAAGTCTCGAGTTCGAACCTTCGGGCAGATGAGGCTAAGTAGCAGAGGACAGCCACTCCTCTTGGAGAGACGACTCCAAAATCAAACAACTGCTGCTTGTAGTTTGTTCTTGGTTGGACGTAGGCTATGGAAACAAATCCAAAAAAGAAAAGCAGGCTGAAATCTGAGTCAGTGGCCTCAATGGCGCATAAACAGTTAACACGTAGGCTTATACTTAATTGTGTTGGAAGGGATCCCATCCAAAACTAAAGTTAAGAAAGAAGAAGAAGAATAAAGAAAATAAACCGGGAGTGATCTCCCCTAAACTTTCTCGAATATTCTTATATAAAATAACAGGGGATGGGAACTCGGGCTATAGACATGATTTTTAATACATTTTAAATTCTTAAAGTTTTAAAAATAGAATACAATCTCGTAGACAAATTAATTGCACACCAAGTGAACGCCAAATAAAAAAGCGCATAATAGTGCGCAATATTATTAGTACTTTTAAAATTTACATTAGTTTTTTGAGAAATCAGAAGTAGCGTAAATTACTACTTCCGGTCAACCGAAATTACTCAAAATTTAACAGAAGGTAGAGAATTAGATCTTTTACTTACTTGTGAAATTTCATTTATCTATCTGAAATAGTACTCAAGTTATAGGCTTTTGAAAAATTCAAAGTAGGAAAAGTACCACTTCCGGTTATCGGAAATCGCTCAAAAGTTGATACGGATCTACGATTTTGATATAATACTTATATATGAAATTTCATCAACCTAGCTGTAGCGGTTCTCAAGTAATCGTGTTTACACACGGACAGACAGACAGACAGACACACACACACAGACACACAGACATACGGACAAGATTGCAAAATTATGTTTTTCCGTATCAGTGTGGTGTAAAACGTCGAGATTTGTAAAAATCTCGATTTTTTTTTTTTTGCCCGATTACAATACTTTCTCTATACTTCGTATATACGAGAAAGTAAAAATATAAGATTTATTATCACTATAAACCTTTACATACTTATTTATGTGTATATAATATATATATATATATATGTATGTATATATATATATATATATATATATATATATATATATATATATATATATATATATATATATATATATATATATATATATATATATATGTGTGTGTGTGTGTGTGTGTTTATATAAACATCTTTATATATACACTAGTTTCTACGTGGCAATAACATGTTGGTTATTATTTCAAGGGTCTATATTTATTAATAATATTCCTACAGGCTTTATACACAATCGTGATTCTGATTATAATTGCTTTGAGTACTTTGCATACAATTTTACACAAAAATACAGTCGACTCACTTAGCTGAGAGTTTTAGCAATTGTCTTTGATGAAAACATGATGAACAAGTATAACGTGTGTATATATATATATATATATATATATATATATATATATATATATATATATATATATATATATATATATATATATATATATATATATATATATAAGTTAAGACAATGAAATCACGCTTTGTTAGTTAAGAGAAATAATACTACGTAAATTGTTACTTTATGACTGTGACGTTTGGTTACTTTATGACTGTGACGTTTTGTCACGTGTTGTTTTGTGTCTGTCCATCGCTACGCCCCTGCGTGCGAGGTTTAGTTAAAGTACATGTTTATCAGCCTTTAGGGTGCGATCGTTATTGCACTATAGCTCGACTCGACTTCTTCATTACAGCTAGGTTGCGATCTTTAGGTGATTAAACTTCTATGTTGAAGGTTAGGTGACCCAGCTCTTGTGAATGGATTAAAATAGGTGTTACAGTATTGGACAACTAATTAAGTTTCAGCTGCTAAAGTGCTGAGTGTTGTTCTACGTGACAAGTAGACCACTGGTCTAAATAAAGCAAGTCAGCAAGCAGCGTGTTCAGGTCGGTTAAGCGCAAACCCCCGGGAAGATGAAGCTCGATAGCTGGGGACAGACACTTTTCTATGAGAGACAACTCCAAAATCAAACAACTGCTGCTTTGTAGTTTATTCTTTGTTTGAGAAAGGCTATAAAAGCAAATCCAAAAAGAAAAGCAAACTGGGTTGACGGAGTCAACGGCCTATATGGAGTATAACAAGTTGACACGTAATACTCATTTGAATTGTCCAACATTTCAATTATAGGAAGAAGGAAGCAAACAGATTTAATCATTATTCTAAATACAGATATACAATTTTATTGGCCGATTAATATGTACATCAATAGCTACATATATTTGGCTATTGTTAATTAGCTGTATGCTATCAATGTCAAATAAGAACCTAAAATCATTATCCAAATACCATTAGCTACTAAAATGCCTGCTTTCTATTAGCTACTCACCGTTATCTTTACACTTTGCGTTGATATATGGTGTCTCACACACACATACACATACACAAACACACATACACACACACACACATATATATATATATATATATATATATATATATATATATATATATATATATATATATATATAAAGTGTGTGAACGCTGGATAGGACGATGGCGGATGTTTAAATACTGAACAATCCGTGACGTCATGGAAAGACTCTAGATCTATACTGTGTGGTGAAAACAGTGTCATTTTCTTGTCTTTTCTTGACAGATCTTGTGGAGTTGCATGTGAATGGAATATATTCTTTTTCGTCTGTGGCGTAGCCAGGATTTGATCATGGCAGGGGTTAAAACATAGTTCCATATGTATACAATTATATATATATATATATATATATATATATATAGATTTATATATATATAGGGTCCATTGGAGGGGATGTAACCCTCCTAACCCCTACCCCCTTGCCTACGCCACTGCTTTTCGTTGATTGTTCTATTTGGCTTTGTTAAACAATAGTGACAATGTGACTTACACATACACCTGTATATTTAAATACGTATGTAAATGTGTATATGCTTCTATACCTTTGTGTAAATGTGCTTTCAGTAATAATATTAATGTCGTATTTTCTGTATTTTTTAATTTAACTTTTTTTTAGGCTGATATTTTGAGAGTGAGCAGCTCACGCCTTTCAAAAGGTATGGAAACTTGCTCTTAAAACATCTGACAGTACACGTGTTGAACTCAGTGTGTCCGCCTTAAGTATGATATGTTACACTGAAATTTAACATGGGAACATTGATTAGAAATATAACTAAAAATGAATCCATTGTTGAACAAACGTGGGGGAGCATTAGAAACGAAAGTTAGAGAAAACTTTAGTGAAACAGTGAATATGTGAGGGTCGAGCTTGAACTGACGATATACACTACCATTTAAAGAATACCAGTACCATGAATGGACGGAGTGGCCTAGCGGTAGACAGATGGACAGCTAACCTGATAGTCTCGAGTTTGATTCCGGGTCAAAGTCAGTAGACCGTCCCTGAGTCCACCCTTGTACTAACTCACGTTTGGGTAAGTAAAGGCGGCTATGTTTAGTGCTGACCACACTATACCTTCAGATTTCGAGGTTACAGAAACAGGTGAACTCTACTTCACTTGCCCCGTAGAACTTCATGTCAAGGGAAACTTTACCATCATGATAATCACATTAAAAACTATGCAGGAGAGAATCACTTGACGCATTGTCTATTATATTCAACTACTGTCCTCAATCAAATCCGTATACAACTATCCTTAATATAAACATCACACGGAGTTCCTTTTACATTTACTACCTTGCCTTAACTCACTAGGAAACCACAACAAACAGTTTCTATGGTAAAATGTCACTATTTTTTTTTCCATCCGCGTCATCAATCCATGCATTTATTCGCACCAGTTACACGCCAAATACATACCTTAACACGCACCGACAAGTAAGTTTTACTTTGGTTAGTACATCTGTCTTGACGGCACCTTCCTGAACCCATTCTGTGGATGGAAGTGGAAGATTTTAGTTTAAAACTGTATTTTTGTCTTTAATTCACACGCGTAAATTGTGTCTCAGAGTATGGTCACCCCACCCTCCACAACCCCGCAGGTAGTTTTATGTTGCCATAGTACCTCAACTGCTGAAAGTCAATATCAAGGGATAGAGAGCGAGGGAAGAGGCTGCTCGTCGTGGTCGTCTTATGCCGATCTGATCACTTCTGAAACGGGCAGCCCTGTCTAATCCTTGATGTCATACATCCAATGTGGACTTTGCCTTCCCCTTCTTCTCCCTCCTGTAAGCGTGCCTTGCAATATTGTTTTCTATAGGCCGTTAAAATCTGCAAGTTTTAACACGTGAATATTAAATTAATATATAAAAAATAATTTTACATGGGTAGAAGAAATCTAGTAAACAAAATTGAATCGAAATAAAAACAAGGAATTTAACTGACATAATTTAAAACATGTTAATATACCTTATTATTTCCCTTACATTCGCTTCACAATTAAAATTAAATAAACCGGGAGTGATCTCCCCTAAACTTTCTCGAATATACTTATATAAGACTACGCGGATAGCAACTCGGGATATAGACATGATTTTTAACCAACTTTTAAATATTTAACCTTTTTAAAATAGAATAGAATCTCGTAAAAAAAAAAAGAATTGCGCACTAAGTGAACCACAAACAAGATGTGTAGTACTGAATACTAGTACTTTATAAATTCATATGCGTTTTTTTTTGAGAAATTAGAAATCATCGTAAAGTAATAATTCAGTTGAACAAAAATTACTCAAAATTTGTCGGAAGGCAGAGAATTAGATCGTTTACTTACATGTGAAATTTTGTTTAGCATACTGAAACAGTACTCAAGTTATAGGCTACCAAAGTAGAAAATATTCCGTTTCAGGTTACCAGAAATCGGTGAAAAGTTGATACAGAAGTACAAATTTAATATAATACATGTATATGAAATTTCACTCACGACATCGTGATCACAGAAAC